TCTCTTTCTTTTCTTTTTTTCACTCCCCCCTCCTCCTCCTCTCCCGCTTCTCTTCCGTTTTTCTTTTTTTTTCTTTCTCCTCCCCCCCCCCCCCTTTATTTCGTTGTTCGATGCGTCGATCACCCGGCGACGGCCTCAGGGACCCCGGCGAGCGCTTCCGTCTGAAACGGTTGCCGCCAAACGCGAATCTCCCCGGTATCGCTGCCGGTCGCGAAGGCCGCGCCGTCCGGGGCTAACGCGGCGGCCATCACCAGCCCTTCGTGCAGCCGGACCTGCCGAATCGCCTGCGCGGTGGGCAACCCCCATTCCATCGCGGTGCCGTCGTCGGCGACGGTGAGCAGCGTGCGCGCCGGGGTGAAGTCGATCCCGCGGACGTAATCCGCATGCCCGACGAAGACCCGGACGTCCGGATCGGGCGCCCCGGCCGGGGGTCGGAGCGCGATCCCGAACACCCCTTCCGAACTCGCGGCGAGGACCCAACACGGGAAAGGCGCCCCGGCGGGCGCCGGGGTCTCCTGAGGGTCCCCCATCCATCCGCGCGGGACGATCGCGAGGTGGTTCACCGGGTTCTCGAACTCGTCGAGGTTCAGCAGCAGACGATCCGAAGGGGAAGGGGAAGCGGAAGAGGAAGAGGAAGGGGGGAACCCCAACCGCCACCCGCGCACCGCGCCATCCTCCGAGGCGGTGAGCAGGATCTCGCCGCCCGGGATCAGGACGAGGTCGTTGACGGTGCTGATGGAGACGACAAAGCGATCGAGCAGGCGCCCGAGGATCCCCCCCTCTCTTTCCCCGTCGTCGGGATCCGGGTTCGACAGGCGATCCTCCAACAGGGCGGAAGGGGGGAAAATCGCGTGGAGGTAAACCATCCCGTCATCGCAGGCGCTCGCGGTGAGGTACCGCGGGCGTGGTGGCGGAAAGAACGTCGAAGCCGACGACCCCGTCAGATCCACCCCATCCGGGACGCAGGAAAAGGGAAGGAGGATCACTTTATTGACGCCCTCGCGAAAGTCCGAAAGCACCCCAAGTGGGTGCTCGTGGCGTCGGAGATCCCACAACGCGACGCGGCCGTCATCCGAGGCGGTGAGCAGCAAATGCGGATCATCCGGGAGAAAAAGCGCGTGATTCACAGGCTCGCGATGATACCATAAACGGGCGATGGATTCGCCGGAGTAGTAATCCCACAACGCGATCGTTTCGTCGCCAGAGGTGGAGCATAAAAGGTGGGGGTACACCGCCTCATGCGGGCTGAAGCATAAAGAGGTGACGGAGGCCGTGTGCGCGTGAAGAAATTGACTCCACATCGCAAGGAAATCGATTATTAGAGCTTAGTTAAGTTTTTTTTTTCTCTTTTTTTATTATTATTATTGGCCACACTGTTGAGATTTTTTTTTGAAAAAAAAAGAGGCTTAATCGTTATACGGATTCGATTTGACTTCTAAGATCGGATCGAGTGCAGAAAAGCTGAATCCGCTTGTGTGAAAAAAAGAAAGAAGGAGGAAGAAGAGGTTGTTATGCAGTGTATGCGTAAAGAGACGCAACCCACGCTTGTTTCCACATTGCTAAACCCTCCGTATCCTACTCTGGAATCAATGGAGATGGGACTGAAAAAGTTGCCTTTATAAAACGCCAAACGGGAGTAGATCCACCTCTGGTAGGAATAAGAGGTCCGTTGGCAAAAAACCTACCCCTAAAATCTACCCCGAATGCCACCTCACAGAGGGTGAAGGAAGTTAGGATTGAATAGCAGAATCTGAATCGAACTGTGGTCGTTCCGTTAAGATAATTCGTTTTCTCTGGTTAATTTTCTTTTCAGGAAAGCTGAACCTGATTTCATTCACGTTGCATAACAAAAAACGGGATAGACACGCGTATGAACAGAAAAATGTATGCATATATGGATAGAAAGAATGTGAAAGAAAATAGAACTCACACAGCGCGAGAAGTAGATATAAAGTTTTAGTTAAAAGGAATTTGGAAGGAAAAAGTGGGATGTTTGCAGGAGTAGGCAAACAAAAAAACGGAATTCATAATTTCTGTCTATGTGATAGAGAAATTAAAAAGGTGTGCTGCTTTTGGTAGACGTTCTACCCTCTCTCGCCGACGGAGTCCACCATTGCACGCATCCACCAGCGTAAAACCAAACCAAAGTAAAAGAAAACAAGACGAAAATATTAATACTCATAATCCTCTTCACCCTAAGATCTGCCTCTTAGATCTGCCCATCATCCATCATGGCAAGCATGATCCCACGTAGCTCCGCCTCGCTTTCCCGCATCAGATGGAGATACCGACAGATAAAATTCATGCATCGCATCGCCCGACGAAGCCGCTCCTTTCGCAAACTGTCAGGATGCCCCCCTCCTTCGCCCACGTCGTCGTCGAGGAAACCGCGGAGGGGGGGCAAACGGGCGGCATCGGAGCGCGCGCGAGAGGGCTCGCCGCCGGCGGAATGCGTTTCCCCCGCAAGGGAGGCCTCACGAGGGGGAAACGCCGCCGCCATGAGCGATTTCGCGATCGCCCGGGTCGGGGGAGGAGGGAGAGGGGGGGTCGTTCGCATCGCGTGGGGCCTCGGGCGCCGCGTTTTCCCGTCCTTTCGGAGGAACCCCCCGTCGCCGGTAGAGGGGTTCGCGGCGGCCTCCTCGCCGGAAGCCCCCCCCCTCCCTTCTCCGCCCTTCTCGTCGTGCTCCCCGGCCCCTACCTCGACCTCGTTTGCCACGTTTTCGTTTCCATCGGTGGCCCGTTTCGGGGTCGAAATCCATGCCCGGTCGTTGGCGTTCCGTTTCCTCGCCCGTGGCGTTGCCTTCTCGGGGTTCTTTCGTGGGCTCGTTCTCTTCACCCCCCCGGGAGAGGGCCCGAGGAGGAGGAGG